AGCTGCAATATAGCCGCATTGGTCTAACCACCGCATTATTGCAGTACAACCTGACTCTAAATTAGGTGAACAGCCCCACTCCGCATCGATTCAAGAAATGAAACTTTTTATAGACATCATAGGGATGGGATAGTAAACGCTCGAAATTAGCCACAAATATAGTGTAAATTGTTAAATAAATACAACCCCAATTAAAATTTTCGCTTTGAAGGCATCTACCTTATGCGTCAGATAAATATAAACAGAATTGAAGACTGGAATTAATGGCAACTAATTCTTAACATTAGTAAACGGATAAATATTGCACGACGAGGGCAACAATATATTGAACAAGATTCATTTTCCCACCTCTGTAAAATGATTATTCTATTTCAGAACTCACGTTCTCGCAACAAATTAAAAAAAAGCTTTCCAGATTTCTCAATCTATTGGAATTTTTTGATAGCGCAGGTGTGCTCTACTACATGCTAAGATAATTCAAAGCAGAAAGTTGAAAGAAAGTAAATTTATAAAAATTGTGTAGCAACAACATTCATCGGAGTAGAAAAGTAGTTCAGGAGATTCTGGGATTGCCTTGGTAACGATGTACCACTTCGCCCAGTTTTTCGTAATGATTGTTCATAATTATCAGGTAGGAAATATCTATTAATCTTTTTTTTACACAATTCTTGCATATTCCGTTTGCTACGTCAAATTTCAGGCCAAAACATTTTTCCACAACATTTTCAAGCATTCACGTTCTCACTTTACGGTCATTTACGCTGGCCGTAACGTTAGATATTTTGTGAAGTTTTCACAAATCAACATGTTACGAATATACTGTAATCAATGTTCAATAAACGTTTATTTTAATTATATTTATTAGTCTTCAATTTCGTTGAAAGTAGTCTGGATTATTGCCTTAGCCTGATTTTGGCGCATTCAAAAGGTTCAATCTTGCCAGCGGTCGAATCGAATGCAGCGGCTGACTGGGAATTGGTTCAAAAATCCAGGCGTCCAATTGCTTGTCGAGCGTTTTTCTTTTGGGACCTTGTTTGATGTAGAAACTTTTGGAAACTAGTTGGATGTAGAAACTAGTTGGATGTAGAAAAACAGAAAACTTTAGCGCAGGTTCAATAACTAAATAGGCATATAGGATGTAAACAATTTCACAATTTAAAATACTGCACTATAAGACTGAAGATCATTTGAGTAAGCCAATTTATTTTTATTTATAGTTAACTCAGTTATTATCAGTGTTTAGTTTGATCTATTACCTACTTTATTCAAGTCTGAACTTGATTTTAACTTCCCACAGATGGATGAATTAAATTTAAGAGATCAAAAGTAAATAAAATGTAAATCAAGAAGCATTCATACAAACAAAAAAGTCGGCACAAAGGTTTATAACATCATCGATGAGATACCCTAGCAGAGGCCGCTGTGATGATAACGTTGGTCTCTGATTAACCGTGCACATAAAGCCGTTTGTACCGTGATTCAAAATAAGAACGTACATCTTTGTTAAACTGTTGTGTAAACTGAGTAATGCTGACACTCTTCCAAAGTTTTAATTTGCAATCGTGATTGGAACAACAATCAACATCCTGAAAACCCGCTCTAAACACTTGACTTTGAAAACCAACTGAATCTACTGATGACATTAGAATAGGGGATTTAATAGAGTTAACCTTGAATCATTACACAAATTGGCGGTGAGGAATGATGAATTTCTCACAAATTCAAGGAAAAAAGCAGGGATGTCTTAATTATCGAGTACAGGTACTGGTGAAATCTAAAGCCCTTCTTTAATTTGCAGTCAGTTTATGTATTCTGGAGTTACTGACATTAATATATTATAAAACTCATATTATACGCTATTCATTACATAACTTCCCATTTTTTAGTATTCATTTAATATTCTAGATCTTTCTCTGGTTAGTCATATTAGATTATTTTACATTTCTAGCGCATTTTCTCATTTATGGAAAAAAGACACTATTGTGCTCGCCATGTCCGTCTGTCCGTCCGTGACTTCACGTTTTCGTCGACGAGAAAATGCGCTCTGTCACTTACTGCAGTGAGTACTGAGTTATATTTTTATATACTACGATTGCTGGTCTTGTAATTTATTCTATGGTCTTATAATCTTACTCATTTATTGCTCTATCAATTTCTTTACCTTACATGTTGTATTTGTTCGAATAGCAATTTAAACTTCAATTTAACTTCAATTCAACTTCTATTTAACCTAAATTCAACTTCAATTTAACTTCAATTTAACAGTGTTCATGGGATTTGTTTGTCTCAACGAGGTACGTTATTTCTGCATGCCACCCCGATTTCATGAGGCCTCATGAGGCATACTTAAAATTAAGGCCGACCTCTCTTGATTTTCGAGCTACAAGAATGAGAGACATATCATTCAATTCGCAACCGTCTGATTTATCTATTGTTTGGATTATCTATTGCAAAACTAAAGGGAATTTTGAGAAGGGGTGAAAAAATGAGCGTCTATTCGCTAAATATTTGCTATACTAATCGAGTGATATGTATCTACGTCAGTTATAGCCTGCCATTCAAGGCTATTTAATATCAAGGCAGAATATCTTGCAGGTTAGGTGAAGAAATTCACGGAGACTGGTAAGGTTAGAGAACTGCTTAGTTACAGTTCTTGTCGCATGTATTTTTCACGTCTTGCATACATTTGTTTTGTATGCCAATACATCGAGACTGAAATGAGCTGTTTTTATACTGTTATTTCGTCGCTTAAAACACGGTAAAGAGAGTAAGTTAGATCAATCCATAGCTTTCTTCCCTCGAAAATTATACTGAATGTTGGTGATATTTTGAGGGTAAATGGGTGAATATTGAATGAATGAAATCTTTGACATAGATCGTTAAAAATTATAATGTAGATTAATAGGCAAGCTTTAATTTAACTGAAAGAAGTTATTGGAGTTATTCTTAATATGTCAAGAAGAGAAAGAATGCACAAACCTTCCACGTAAGGCTTCTATTTTGCTGATAAACAATCACCTGCATGGTCGTTTATGTAAATTAGTGTAGCTGACAATCGAGGACTTGAGATTTTCCAATTTTGCATTTGATCATTTCGCTTAATTTGTTAATACATAAATGATTATAGAAATGAATTTAGTTCTCCCTTAGAACACGATTAAAAGTACTTTCATACATTTTCATTTTTGAATCATTGCATAATAGTCATTGAATAAAATCAACTAACCTCCGCCTGTGGTATCTGTCTCATTAATACATAGCTCGACAGAACTTTCCTTGTTCACAGTATCTGAGTAAAAAAATGGATTTAAGATACTGGATTAATTGAAGAAGATATAACTACAAAATATATGAATACTCTGCACATTGAATATTTAAAACCATTCGCAGAAACTGGTGTGCCAATATTCGAAACTATTAGCTGAAACTGATGAGAAATATTGTGATAAACCCGTAAAAATAAGTAATGTCTGTAGCAACAGAAACTAGGAACGTCTGTGAGATTTGTGAAGTATGAACAGCAACTTATGTTCGCGTGACTGTTGAATATGCCAGTATTGCCAGTTAAATTTTAACGTAATACAAACTTTTCTTCAAAAGTTGTAACGTTAGTTTTCTAAGGAAATCAAACCAAGCTATTGATTCAATCATTTTACTTTCACACAGGCTGAGAGACTATGCTCTGAACCGCATTCCAGTATTGCGTGGATAATTTCATTAAATGAGGAAAATATTTATTGATTTCATGGAAACTGAAACTGAGGAACATTGTAAATTCTACTCAACTTGAGGGAGTTTATTCATGCATGGTTCCGTCAAATGGAAATTTGTAATAATTAGTGCACATGTTACACTGGCTATTTTTACCTGCCTAGTACTTCAATCAACCATTTTAAGGAATATAGGGAATAACATTAAAAAGAATAATTGTAGTATTTTTTATTGCACATGTCGGTTTCGGTCACATTGAAACAGCTTCTTTGTGACAATGACGAACGGTATTATTTCATTTACTGACTGATGAGAAACGCTTTATCCATACTAAAATTACAATGCTATTTTTCTTTCTTACTAAGATGTAACATGGTGAATGATGAATTATTAGGATAAACTTATTTTAATTGTCTTTGAGAATTTTCGAAAATTAGTAACCAACTTAATCGGGAATCATTTATCTGTATCTGTAGGTATAAATTAAATCGGCAGAGCTGCCTCTAAACTTTTATGTGCTTAACAACATATAACTGTTGCTGCAAGTCAAATAATGCTTAAACTGACATAAAAGATGGAATAATTTTGGTTAAAATGAACAACTATTTTGCTTACTAAATATGTACGAATTGCATGCCAGCTTTTTGAGTCTGCAATTCATATCCTGGGAGTCAATTTCAGACCCGTTAATTCAAATGACATTGCGTCGCATTGAATATGAGGTAATTATGCGTCTCCAATTTCATTTATTTACGAAGTCCTCGGCATTTTATCTGGACACAGAACATTTCAATCGTTACTGCATCGACCAGTAATACCAGTGTAGAATTTCGCTGACATCATTATTTTGAGTGACAAATTATAGCAAAACGAAAACGTTATTGTTTTCATATAAATTTCTTCAAATAAAAATGCTATAGTTAGACCCAGCTGAGAAGTAGAGTCTTACAAGTTCGAAGATAAGTTTTGCCAGTAATTTTAGTGATGTGCCTTGATGAATATCGATCGCGGTATCAATGATCTTTCATAAATCCTGTCAATATCGGATATATAGACGACAGAATTAGCAAAAGCAATAGGATGATAATGATTAATCCTAACGAATAAGTGTAACATATAAAAATAAAATAAATTACAAAAAAGACAATCGTCGTCGTCTCAAGAAGACAGAGAGCAAACGCTCGCTGCTCATTTGTCCAAAGCATAGTTGCAACCCACTATGCAGTGGCAGCCCAGTGCTGGCGACCTTGCCTTTCATATGAAATACTCAACGCTCTTTTCCTATACAACATCTGGCTGCTTGGTGTGAAATACAAAACAGGAAGTTTCCGTGAATCACTCTTTATTATGAGCCCTATTTCAGGAAACAAGAAAAAAAGTTTTCTCACTTCCAACAATTAAGAAGCTAGTTTACACCTGCCTTGTTATCATATAGTTGTAAATGCTCATAAATAAATATTGCCAGTTTCTATTAGGAGATAACTCTTCAGGAAATGAGGCTCTTATCTCAACCTGGATATTGCAACGCATTCCATCAGAGTAAAAACATCAATTACTATATTCACAATCCCGTACCTTCCAACTCGCTGTCGGATGAATCTACTGATGATTAGAAACGGTAGGAAAACGTACCCAGCGAAAATGAAATGAATCATTATCCCCCATTTAATGATGACCTATGCGGATGACAAATAACATTTCTCAATTGCAGCGCATGTAGCATAAAAATAGCTCCCGAGACAAGGCGCTCATTCCTACGGTAATTTCGTAAAAGTCATTGTCATATTGTCATAACGGTTCACGATCAGTGCTCAGAGTTTAGCTAATATTGTACATGTCGCTCCATTTATCACTTATGTTCAGACAGACACTGGATCGACCTCATCGTCTCCTGCCATCTCCAGCAGGGCTCGGGGTTTGATTTCTTCTTTAGCTGTAAAGGCGACCTCAACATTTTGCTTCTGGTTGTTCGCTGCTGACGGATGGTTTCTGGACACTACAGTTGTGGAAATTTTGCTGACGCTTGATTCTTGAGGAACGGCGGTTTGAGGAGCAAATTTCCTTACCTTTTGTAAAATCTGAGTTGTGAAACTTCTGCTTGCATCTCGGAGAGAGTTTCTTCCTGACGTAATAGTACGAGAAGGAAACGACCGGACATTGGATTCACCGCCCATATTAAAATTTGAGCCGTCATCCGAGGAATAACCTTCTACGAGCAACGAAGGATCAATGAATGTGTGTGTGTATGTTTGATTATTTTCAGACTGATGAATAACTTCAATGGATTCTATGTAAGTGTTCGCTTTGAATTGCTGTGCATTTTCCTCCTCATGTTCATTGTTTGTAATGAGAGGCGCAATAACAGTTTCCTCATTGTGCGAGTCAAGATCATGACTGTCGTCAGTCGCTGCGAGTACAATTTCACCTTCATCACTAACCTTGACGTTCTGAGACGCTATAGTTTTAGGTTTTTTCTTGGTTTTATCCTCATAGATCTGGTGGTGTAACGTTGCCTCAGCTGGTCGGGTCCGAAAACGGTGCAGGTTAGTGCCCACCAACACCACGATGATGGCTGCATAGAAGACAACAACCGCCTGCAATAGAGCAGATACAACGTACATAAAATTCGCAGGAAACAGTCTACGTGCCTGCCGTTATATTATTTTTAATTTGAGCATAAATATTGTAGTGTTAGGAGAGCTTTAAAACTAGAAACTTCCTATAGGTTTCCATCAAAGCTTTCTCTAGGTTTGATAATACTGCTCAGATTTCATCACCGATAATCCCAGAAGTTATCGCTGACTCCATATTGTTGCACAACAGAACTCTACGGCGTTTCAGAAATTAAATTTTGACTTGTTAATCTAATTTTTTCGTGTGCTTCATTTTCATCATGAACGTTATAGGCCCAGATTAGTAAAATATGACGTACAATATTCATGTTTATGACTTAAAATCTGAAGTTTTGATGAAGATATGAGACTAAATTCATTATCTTGTCTTTTATTTGTGATTGCTTACGTTTCTTAATGATGTATCACTCACCAAGACGTAGACGATGGCATCTTGGGCAATCTCGGGCGGCAGTGTGCCTCGGAAGTTGAGGGAAGGCCCTGGGATGTTATCCGCTATCGATGTGTGGGGATACCGAGGCACCATTGTCTTCCTTTTATTCGCAGCGAGTCCTATGAATTTATCGATTCATAAAGTGCATACTATGTCTCGAAAACTTTCGAACACACCTATGGCCTGCTATCAATATATGTCTACGACTTAAAGACGATTAAAATTGTACTTGTAGCATCCAAATCATTAAGTGCGGTGTTTTTTACTGACATTTCTTGAACGATTTTTTTTGTTTCTGAAGATTGTCAATGAAATACAAAACTCTCACCGCTCGACCGATACCAGACTTATCGGCATGTACCCAACTACATTTTTACTCTATAGCAGACTTATCAGAAATTTCAATCAATTACGCAATTACATTCCAAATTTATTTCGAAATCGTCAACAATTTTTCCCTGCAAATGCGTGCAAGTGACTCCGAAGTTGTATCGATTCGTCAGTTTTAACGCATTGAAAAAAAAGTGTATTGACTTCCAGGATGTTGCTGGTATCTGAAAAAGACAAGAACATTATTAATATTTCAGTTTAGGCTGAATTATTCGGCTTCAATTACTTAACTTTATTTACAATATAGAAATAACTTAGCCTGCAGAACACATGTGCAATAAATGCCGATGCAGGGATATTGTGCCCTATATTGTAGTAAAGTAAGTTAATTAACAACAATCATGCAGTTCATAAAATTTTCTGACATGAAATAAACACTAGTAAACAGGCCTATCTATTTACTATTTCTAGGAGAAAGGAGCTAGAAGCAGTATTCAGAATAGGCTTCTGTCTGAATATATACAGTGATTCTAAAATTCGTAGAACAGTAACACCGGTTGTAGATGCCAGAACTTTAAAATCACTAGCAGCTAATTGCACTGCTCCGCATGAACACGTACAGCAGAATGAGGGGGATGTGCAAGTAGCTTCCCTGTTCTAAAACTCCTCCCTTTATGCTCTGATGAGCTCGTATTGAGCGTAAAGGATTTGTATGATAATGATTTGTATTGAATTTGCAGGAACGGTTGCAATGATTGGGATATGGTCAGATGTTATGGTCCTGGTTGGAGATGTATATTGTGGAAAGCTTTGTTGTCATGAATTACTGTGTCTATGGATGTCGAGCTTCTTGGGTGATGGGGTGAAGCATGGACCTATGTGAGTGCATTTGTTTTGGGCGATAAGAGTGTGTAACTGTCTGCCTGTGAAATTGGATCTGAAGTTACATAGAGTGGGATGGGTGGCGTCGTCCTTAACCGGGTGCGGTCTGTTGAGGTGGGTGTGAAAGTCTATACAGTTTAGGTAACTGGTTCGGGGAGGTATGTACGTGGTTGGGTGTCTATTTTTACGGCCAGCGCCCAGCATATCGGAATGGAAGTTATCGTGCAACTTAATTGTAGGTTCTTGATAGTGATGGCAGCACCGGCGTGTTGGCGTTGTTTTTATTGGTTGTGTGTGAGTGGTGGTTGAAGAGCTTTCGAAAGTGTTGTTAGCGAGGACCAACAAGTTCAGTAGTTCAGTTCAGTTCGCTCAGTAGGAAGATAGCAGGGTCGATGTTGTTATAGATTTTAGGCGAATTATTTATGATTAGGCGCGAATTTTTTTTTGGTCCAACTTTACTCATTGCGTTGGGTAATTTTTATTGAACGATGTAGTGTCATGTTGTAGGAGAATGTTTTGTTGAGGACGCCTTGTTTTTTTTGAAGATTGTCGTTGTGTTGGTAGTGTGGAGGCTCATGTCGTCGAAAGCGTCGTGGGGGCTTATGTTAGTATGAAGTCTTTCTAGGAGAAGTTTATCACGTTTTAGAAAGTCGAAAATTTTAAAGTTAGGGCCAGCGGAGTCTCCGTCGTGCACCGAGAACTGTAGACCAAGGGCTTTCTTTTACAACTCTTCAATGAACCAAACGTTGTGAGGTGCTGCCGGAATTGGGGTGGCGTCTTGGTCGCTTCTGAAAAGTTTGATCTGGGTAAGTTTTGTAAGTCCGGGTGCGGTGATGGTTGTGTGAAAACTGTGAGCTCTGAATCTGTGAGCTTGTTATCATGTCATTAGCGCAATATAATTTATTATTATTTTGCCAAATTGATGAACAGAATTATATTCAGAGTATATGCGGTAGAGTAAGTGAAACATGGCGATGATCGTCATCCATCTGTGGGCGTGAATAATTTTACTGAAGATGCTTCGATCATTTCTGTTACCTAAGGGAGTGTTTTCTTAAGTAAAATGAAGTTTGAAGTATGCATCTCATATTATCTATTAGTGATTATTTTAATGTTTAGTTACTAAAAATAAAAACATTTTAATGAACTAATTGAGTGAACACTTGAAGTATAGCGGCCTGCCTTAGATTTTGATAATATTAATGATGTAGAGTTTAGGCAGTTTGTGATTATATAACCTGTTTTTGTCAGTACTGTTATTTTTTTGTGGAACAACTGTAGAACTTTGCAAAGGGTCAATGAAAATATGTGGGTCAATGATCTAGGAACAAGTATAATATTGTCGCAGCCCTTTCACTACTGCGCGGAATAGTACCTGTTGTAAGGTCTAGCCAGTCAAGTTAAAGCACTTTGTCTCTGGTGTCCCTGCGAGGCTGACTGAGCTATTATAGGCTGCAGTGCGCTAGTCTCACGTACGAGTTCATTGGAAAAGTGGTCTTTAATTAGCGTCTATATGGATTATTGTATGTTAGATTAATTATTGTATTATCTTCCTGCAGTGTTCTGTGTTCATTTCTACGTGTATTTATTGTGTCATTTACACATCTCGGCATGATAAGTCCCTCTCCTCTCTGTAGTTAAATAGTTCTCGTTATGATTGCGATTCTAAGCTGTTGGGGTTTCCCAAATAAATATAAAAACTTTTGATCTATTAACTGAACCCGACATCATCACATGGGGCAAGGCCCCATATAAAATCAAGTCGTCAATGACCACATATATTTGGTAAAACGTTATGCAAAAAATCAATATTTTTTTCGATAATGAGAAAATATCTATTAAGGGAAAATGAAATGAAAATGATGAAAATGTATATTAATATTAAATACTAATAAAAAAATACCAACAAGTTACATTAATCGTGTCTCCTCTTTAGCCTCATTTATCATGTGTAAAACATTGCCCATTTCGTCTTAGCTTCGGAGATATTTTGAAAAATGGGCAAGTAAAAGAAAATATAGGAAAATATGTATATACGCCATGGAAAAAAATTTGGTTCGAAAACACAATAACATACACATATTAATATACACATATCAATAATACCAGGATAAATAGTAATGTTCAAGATCACTTATCTAAACTCCTGTTAGATCGGCATTGGTGATCATCATGGAAAAATCTTTCGCGACTACATTTCTCTGCACTGGAATCACTAGGCTTGAAGAAAAGTGAATATGATAGACTATGCCAGATCACGTCAATAATAAAAGAAAACGAAAACTAGGAAAAGTCTGCTCTTACTTCTATAAAGTTCATATGTATATCATTGCTCTCACTTAGAACATATTTTTGACAGCGTTTATTTGTTGGTTGTTATGTATTTCATTGCTCTCACTTAGAACATATTTTTGACAGCGTAAGTGCTTAATGTTAACATTAACTACATAGGATGCTATGCTCTGTAGTGCTTAACCGCAGAGAAAGGAAAATGAAGTGGAGTGTGGATGTGGGTTGTACTGGCCCTATCAGTGTCATAATTTGGACTATTATTTTTTGCCCATATTATTATTATTATTATTATTTAATTTTATCATATTGAATAACGCAAAATTGAATCAAGGAATAAAAAAGTAAAAAAACTAAATATCCTAAGACATTGAGCTTGAAGGATTCATAGATAAGTGATGTAGAAAGGAGACGCGGTATATATTTTGTACTTGAAGTTTGTGCGTCATTATAATTGTCGTGCACTACTTATTCAATTTATTTAGCCCGGTCATAAATAGTATAATGTTCGTAATGTATGAAGTCTTTCCGTTTACGCTGATATTGTGAATGGAACTATCAATTACGTGTTAGAATAGATTAAAACAATCATTTAGGTTGAATAAATCGTCCCAAACGACACGTTACTTGAAATTACTTGAGACGTTGAATTCATGAGAAAAGAAGAATATATTCCAAAAAGAAATTTAACGGTTATATGGTATTAGATTTGTTTTGTCTTATGAATGCGAAGATTTATTAATTTTTTCAAATTGTAATGGGCTTGTGGGGTAAGAGCCAGTCATTGCCCACACAGTAAAATAACAAGATTGAAAATGAAAGAGACTGGAACTGAGATTTTAATGTAGAGAAAATGAATAACAAGGTGGGCTTTGAATATAAATATTAAGCTATGGAAAATAGTGTAAATAATAATAACCGTGGCAACGTGCGTATCTTTTGAAGAGTAAATCTAATAAATGAAAGAAAGAATAAAGAAATAATAATACAATATAACAATTATTCAGATTGTAAAAAGGAACCTATTGGAGCTTAAACAAACCTTCAGCGGGGATCAGCCGAACGATAATGACTAAGGAGAAAATTGTGTGCGTGACGTTAACTTTCTAACGGTGTTGCCAAGGTAAAGGGAAGTTATAATTTATTACAAAATGAAACTCGCAAAATAGCTAACACTAAAGGCTTTCATCGGACGTAACCGGGCTTTCATGAGAAATCCCAGGTCATGCGGTCCTTGCAATCTCTCATTTTTGTGCTTTAGTTGAATTCTCTCGCAGGTCACTGAACATTCAGAGTAGCTCTTCATTGGAGAATTGCAGGTTGTAAAGAATACTTTATTTATTCATGGGATGAGTATCAATGAATAATAAATCAGAAGAATTTGTTATCAAAGAGTTGTGCTGAGTGCTTGCGAAATCAAATGTTGGCATAATTTTGAAATACAGATGAAGTATTAACTACAGAATTATTTTATAAATTTTGGTAAAAAAGTTACTTGCCTGCAACCCCCTCCCCCCAAAATAATTAGAGATTCAAAAAGTTATGATTTGGAACACAGAACATACCGTGCTGGAAGCTTATATAGTTGCATTGGTAAAACCACAGCATTATTGTACAACCAGACTCTAAATTAGGTGAACAGGACCCCACTCCGCATCGATTCAAGAAATTAAACTTTTTAAATATCATAGGGGTAGGAAAGTAAACAATTAAAAGCTTGAAACCTTGAAATTTTCGCTTGAAGACATCTACCTTAATTGTGCGTCAGATAAATATAAACAGAATAGAAGACTGGAAAGACAACTAATTTTTAATATTTTTAACATTAGTAAAGGGATAAATATTGCACGACGAGAGCAACAATATATTGAACAAAATTTGTTTTCCCACCACTGTAAAATGAACATTCTATTTCAGAATCTCACGTTCTCGCATCGAATTTTAAAGAAAAATAAAGCTTCCAGATTTCTCAAGCAATTGAAATTTTTCGATAGCGCAGGTGTGCTCTACTACATGCTAAGATAATTCAAAGCAGAAAGTTGAAAGAAAGTAAATTTATAAAAAATTGTGTAGCAACAACATTCATCGGAGTAGAAAAGTAGTTCAGGAGATTCTGGGATTGCCTTGGTAACGCTGTACCACTTAGCCCAGTTTAATCGTAATGATTGTTCATA